CACACACACACACACACACACACACACACACACACAAAATGAGTAGTAACACTTCAGGCTCAGATCATGTACCACACTGCATGAATCACTCAGACGCTGACACACTCACACACACACATACACACAAACATGTTGGCATGTCATTACCACAATGGTAAGAATTAGACTGAGAACACTTCTGCCTGCCTACAAGTCTATGAACAATATAAAGTTATGCAGTTCAGATAAAATCAGTCTTCTATAATTTCACTTTCTATGGAATATAAAAACTGACTTATTTCTATAACCAATTTAAATTGAATTTAATTTTTAATCAGGTTGAAGCATCTTTAAATACAACTTTTATGTTTTGTTTTTCTCAGTCTCCTGAATTCCATCGTCATGATAAAATCTATTAAATCAAATTTGATCTGCTAATTAAAAAAAGATTTCAAATTACGTAAATGTCTTTCCAAAATTAAAACTTATTCTGGGCATATTTTCTTTTATATAGCTCTTATAAACAAACAAAAAAAATAAAACAATGTAAACTTGTTTTTGTGTTCTTTGTCTACATGTCCTTGTAAAAACTACATAAAAGCAGTTCTGTAAATTTTGAATGAAACATTCAAAGTTACTGAACAACAACAAAGGCTTAATGTGAAGTGACARGATTAACTACACTTAAACATTTGGTTTTTGAATCTTTGGGACCACAAAACATCTGGTTTTCTAGCTTTTTAGGACCGTCTTCTTGCACCTGTTTGCTGGTTGTGACCTTTCTACTGCTGAGTGGTTTTCAGTTTGCAGGATCCCTCCCCAAACATTAGATTTTTTTTTCAATAAATATTCAGTGAAAGCTACATCTGAACTGGTCATCAAATGTGTCCAGACCTGCAAGTTCAAAAAATTGACACAATCTGTTTCTTAGCTAAAGTAATTGTCTATTAAAAAAATGATTTCATTAATGAATTCCACAAAGACACTTGGTGGAAAACCTGAGCTGCATGTCTCAGCGGCAAAAAAATAAAAAAAWATATTCCTAGCAACCAGTTAGACGCCTTTGTTTGTTTATTGGACATGCGATAGGAACCATGGTTATGACCTTGGTGACCCTGAATAATGAATACATAGCCTTGGGTGTGRGGTTCAGCCTGCTGTGTGTTAATCACACTCAAACAAAGAAGCTGTAGCTGCCAAGAGCAATAAGTAACGTTGTGGCAGATGATTAAACATAAGGTGCTATAGAACAAGAAAAAGGAAGTCGGTAGAATTTTGTGACATTCTGTGATGCAATCGTCTACCACTGTATTACACATAAATATTAGTCATTGATGGCTGTGTAGTATTTATTGTAAATGTGTTTTGTAGTCAGATAAGTAATATGTGTGCAGTTTTGACATCTAATTTTAGAAACACTTTTTTGCAGCAGATTTGAAGCCAAGCTCAGCGGCAGCTCAAGGTTTTGTTATTGTTTGAATAACTCCACAACCTCACTGATGAAATTCTTTAAAAGGGAACAGGTCTGTTGTTTTTCAGTTATAGTGTTTTTGAGCTTCAGCTTCTACAACTCAGGTTTAAGGATGATAAGAGGGCACTRTGAAGTCTAAAGCTGATTATTATTATTAAAGTCAGCACTATTCAAGAAACAGTCCATGCAGTTTAGGGTCACATGGCCTGGCTCTGGTATGCGGCAGAGACGAAAAACCTTTTCTGAGAGATTAAAGGGTACAAAGGACATCGARTTTAGTAGATATGTAACTGCGAAAGCATGCAAGGTTGTTTTTGTTAAGACATAATCAGCTATTTCAGTGCCCCTGAAAGGTCAACATAACAATCGTGAAAAATAAAGCTATGTCCGACAAGAGGTCACGTTGAAAAGGCTGAAAGTGGTCAGGTTTAGTTTATCCTAATATAATAACGTGTGCCTGAAATTCAGCACCAGAGATCTGACTCCTCTGACAGGTCCAGGTCAAGGCTTAAATTCAGTCTAGACCAAACCCAGTGGGTTTGTGGCCTGTTTAACATTACGTTAAATACCCAAAGACATTCAAGATGGCAATGATCTAACTGATCATATGAAGGTGTGTTCAAAACTAAACCTAAATTTAGTCCTATTTATCATATGTCACTGTGACAGCAAGTGGGATTAAATGTTGTAATAACTGGTTGATTCAAGCTGTTTCAACCCAAAAACTTGGATGTATTTCACCTTTATTCTCTTGTATTGTAAACTTATGTTATGGATGTATAACTGCTAATGATAGAATTAGGTAGGACACAAAGCTTGCCAATTTGAAAAAATATTTGTGTTATTAGCAAATAGCAATGAAACAATTGCCAAAAGAGTAAGTCAGTCCATGGAGGAGTTTGGGTTCCAGTTTTCATTTAATGCATGGGAAAATATTCCACTGGTCAAATAGCTGACTGGTCTCAGTCATTTCTGGCAAATGCACTTGCATATCTTGTAGTTCCAGGCATGAAGTTTTTAACTTTTGAACTTTTCTCCCAAGACTGTACTCTGTTCTAATCAAGACAGAACCAAGTGTCTGAACTAAGTAATTTTATCTGTGATTATAGTGGTGAAACTTCATGTTATCTTCTTCGTTGACATCTTCAACAACTCTTAATTCAAAAGATGAATGACTTAATAAACACTATATATATAT